TTCGCGGGAACATCAAGTGTCCTTCATCCGTGTTTTCAGTAAGGGCAAATGTATATGAAAGAAAAATAAATAATAGGCATAGATGGGTACAATTATTGTAACTTAGCCAGCCCAGTAGTAAAAGCCGGCTTCTAATGAAACTCCCGTTTATTGATACGTGTCTGCTTTATGTAGAGGAGTCCAATAACAGGGATTTCACTGTAAATATCAGGAGTGTACAATAAATAGCAATATTTTTCTAACTTACGTGCGAATTATTCGATGGGTTTAGTATAATTGCAACAAGTATAATACGCGCATGTAGGCCCTTACTCTCACCCGTATACACACACGCACGCACGCACGCACACGCACACGCTTACTCACACACTGTGCTGAATGGTGCAGTCTGTATGAACGTAACGTAAACATATCGGATACTTGTCGAATTGATTTATTAGTTATAAATACGGTGCGACATTCAGCGTAATATTTGCAATGGCTTCACTTTCAACATTCACACCTTCACACACGGGCGCGCACGCACGTAAACGCACACTCACACACGCACGCACGTAAATGGACACGCACACGCACAGGCTCACATACTTGTACACGCACACAAATAAATACACATACATGCACAAAAACGGCGCGCGCTCACATACGCGCACATGCACGCACGCACGCACGCACGCACGCACGCACATACGCACACACGCACGTACACATATACGCAACCGTAGACACACGGTGCGCATAACCAACCATACACGCACGCGCAATAGATGGGAGGCACCGTGTGGTTTATGTATGCTATTGTAATCTATTCATTTCGGGGTCAACGTATTTTCGTGTGTCTTGTTGTAGAAAGATGTGTGGGATTAGTGTCAGGTGTAATCTTAGTTCTTTATCCCGTTATTCTGCTCTTCGCTCAACCGGTGTAAACGCAATTATGGTGCATGTGCTTTTGTTTAATACACGTTTTCGTGAGAGTATACATTAAAAGTTTCTTGTTTCGCGAGGAGAGAACGGCGCGGATCTCAAACCAGTTCATAGCAGTTTTTCTCGCGCAACATGTCTAGCTAACGGATTACTAAGCGATTTCGTTCAAAAACTGGCACGAAAGTTATTGTTGTGGAAAATTTTGAGGAACAAAGAAAACAACGAAAGGAAAAACCGACTCGTTTAGTTTAACCTGAATATGAAATGAAATTTTAGTTGGTTGATACTACAAGAAATGCCTCATCGAAGGCATATTGTTAGACACGGTTTTGTAAAAGCATTGTAAAGGACACTCAAGCGAGCTCAGGGATGTTAGGGACATAAAAACTCGCCGTGCGTGCGTGCGCGCGCGCGCGCGCGTGTGTGTGTGTGTGTCGTGTGTGTGTGTGTGTGTGTGTGTGTGTGCGTGCGTGCGTGCGTGCGTGCGTGCGTGCGTGCGTGCGTGCGTGCGTGCGTGCGTAG